TTTATTTATTTAACTTATATGCCGCCCACATTACCCGAAGGCCTCTGGGCGGCTTCCTTGATTCATTTATCTTTACTTTGTGTAATATAATCAGAATAGGAGCCTGTACCATTTTCTTTTAGTTTCCTAAGTAAATCAGTACTGCTTTTTTTCTGCAAGGAAATGAAACACATTGGAACACAATTTTTTTAAAAAATTCTGTCTTCTGGCCTGTTGGTGCTTCAAAGATCCCATGAATGTCCGTGTTGCAAGCCATGTTAGCTTCCAGTTGTTATGTGAAGAACAGAGGTGCACCTGCCTGTGTTTTGGACTACAACTCCCATACTGCCTGGGGGGGGGGTTCTGGGGTCAGTAGTCCAAAAACATAAACACATACCTCTAATGAGGATTTAAAGTCATGTTTGAATACAAATAAACAGATTTTGTGGTCTACCTAGAAAAAGGTAGGGAAATGGAGAAAAGCAAGTTTCAGGACAAGGTAAAACTGCTGGATATCTTAGTGGTTTAGGCATCTGGCTGTGGATTGAGAGATATTGGGAGTTCAGTTCTCTACTGTACCTCTTTGACGGAGGTTGGATTGAATGATCTATAGATTCCCTTCCAGCTTTGCAGTTCTAAAATGAGGAAGACAATGACAATGACGATTAACAGTTCATGATACTGTTCTGGTATCTGAATATCACACTGTGGTTACTTAGAAAATCAAACTTCTCTACATATTACATCTGGCCATAAAATCAAATTAATCTTCTCCCAACTCTGTTGGGTAGTTTTGTCAGGTAGGTATTAATTGCATAGTTACAAATGCCCTCCATTTATCGAAAAAGTTTTTTGTTTTTTTTTTGCTCTTGAGTTTCACAGTGTGTTCATCCTTTATGTATCTCCCTAGGTTGACTCTAGGAAAACCTCTTGGGGAAGGATGCTTTGGTCAAGTGGTCATGGCAGAAGCAGTGGGAATTGACAAAGACAAGCCCAAAGAAGCTGTTACCGTTGCAGTGAAAATGCTGAAAGGTAATATGGGGGGTGGAGAGGGGGGAGCACAGAAGGAGTGGCAGGTTTTATGAAGAATGTTTCTTTTGTGGCGTCAGGACTCTCTTGTTGTAGAAGGCCAAAGTGCATCTAGTTTACCTCAGGCTTCAGCAGGTTTCAGTATAAATTAGTGCCTTTGACAGCCTATTTATCTTTAGCAGTGGGCATTTACAAGCAACGCAAAGACTTCTTGCCATTATTTATTCCTCCTCTTTTGATTTGATCCGTAGGGGAGTTAGTATGCTCTCATTTTGTTGATTAAAAGTTACTCAAAAGCATCTACAGCACAATCCATTAGGAAATAAAGAACAAGGCCTGATCCATTTTCTTCTAGCGCACCTTTAAAAGAGAGAAAGGGCCAAGGGTGGATAACATGCATTCTACAAAAATACACAGATGGTAAAATATACTTTAGTGTGCCAAATACATGTTTCTAATTTAATCTGAATGGGATAGCTGAAGAATAAATCATTGTAAACATAGGTAGTTTTTCTGTCCATTTTGGCCAGAAAAAAGGCCCAACATGTTAAAGAATGGTTGAAGACCGCTTGTCGGAAAACGAATGACAATTTAGAGTGGATCTATGATATGTAAAAATAATTTGTTATAGAGCTAGCAGACCTCATTTTTTCTGCCATATCAAGCAGTGGTATAAATCAGAGTTATAAATATTTGACCAATTGAAAAACTAAACTCTTTCTAGGCACAGAGTTTAGGAAGTGTCCTGAAAGTAGGCCGTAGTTAATTAAATGTATCAAGAGACTTTTTAAAAAGTAATCTGATTTGATATAATGAGGGTCTGTTTTCATCTTGCAGTTAGGGGTATCTGTCCCACATTACTTTTTTTAAATGGTTCCTTTTGTGCAATTTAAAGAAAAAAATTGCAACTTAAGCAAAATGCAAATGAAGCAACTTGTGCAAAGTGCCAGGGCTTTTATTTATTTATTTACTTATTTATTTACTTATTTATTTTATTTTATTTTATTTTATTTAACTTATATGCCGCCCACTCTACCCAAAGGTCTCTGGGTGGCTTACAACAATTAAAAAACAATAAAAATACAATAAAAAGATAAAACAATAAAAATACAGTTAAAATAGATGCTCTAAAATTGCCATCAGGACCCACAGTTGATATTATTTCAATTAAAAGCTTTCTGGAACAGAAAGGTTTGGACCAGCGAAATGTCATCAGCGTCGGCGCTAGACGAATCTCAGTCAGGAGGGCATTCCATAGTCTAGGGGCAGCTGCCAAAAAAGCCCTTTGTCTACAAGCCATCCCTCTTACCTCCTTGAGGGATGATGGCTCTTTCAAAAGGGCTCCATGACTAGATCTTAACTGCCGGGTAGGTTCATATGGAAGGAGGCGGTCCTTCCGGCATCCAGTGCCCAAGCTGTTTAGGGCTTTATATGTCAAAACAAGCACTTTGAATTGGGCCTGGGCAGCAACTGGTAGCCAATGTAATTTAATCAGAATTGGCTTGATATGTTCCCACTCACCAGCCACACAGCTCTATTCTGGACCAGTTGCAGTCACCAGACCATCTTCAAAAGTAGCCCCACATAGAGCTCATTGCAATAATCTACACGAGATGTTACCAGTGCATGTGTAACTGTCATGAGACTCTACTCGTCCAGGTAGGGCCGTAGCTGGTACAATTTCCGTAGCTGAAGAAAGGCACCACTGGTCACCAAGACCACCTGGGCTTCCAGAGTTAGACTGGGGTCCAAGAACACCCCCAGGCTGCGGACCCTGTCCCTTAGGGGGAATGTAACCCCATTCAGGGCAGGGAAATGGCTCTCCAGTGTGTCCGGCGAAGCACCCACTAACAGCATGTCCGTCTGTTAAAGGTTAAAAGCATTGGAAAGATTTTTGTACCTTTTTGAACAATTAGTCATTGTTCTGTACATGCTGTATATGTGCATATTTTGCTTTTCAAAGGGAAAGAACATCGGTTTGTTCAGATAGTTTGCGGATGCTGTAGAAATATAGACAAAAACAAATGGTACTCCTTGTCTTAATGTCTTCTGGAAGCAAGGAATGTTGTGGGGGTTAAAAATTCCTTGCTGAGATACATGATCAAGATAAGATAGCCTAAACTGACAAGAACAAAGACTCTAGCAAGTATTACATAAAACTGTTAAAAACACAATTATTAGTAAATTCCGTCAACATACTGTCACCTCCATATAGCAGAACTGACTTGGGAATGAAAACTAGCTCCCCCTCTTCAATCTCCCCTATTAAAAAAGTATGGAGAAGAGGAAAGAGCAATAGCCAACACAGAGAAATACAGTGCTCTTATAGTTTTGCTAACAAATTGGAAGTGAAATCAAGCTCTGCCACCCTACCTCCAAGAATATGATCACTGTTGATCAGCAATGCATCAAGAAAGGAAATACCTTAATGAAAATCATTGCCTGTATGTTTGGGAAGACCTGTGATTCTGGATTTGGAGATAGACAGGTACATATCAGGATACTTATAATGTAATGTTCATTCTAAAACAAGAAGTCCAATCAGTTCATGGATATTTTCTATGATACCAGTATATCTATTTCATTTCTTCGTTCTTTTTTCCAGTACTTAATCATGGAACTTGAAAGGCTGTCAAGATTGAGTTGCTCATTGAGAGCAACATCTGGGAACCATGCCTCTGAGAGAAGATTGTCTGAATATTAACCATATTTGGCTTATATAGTGGGGGGGGGGAGGAAGCATCTTCCCAAACTATGCTGAGTTTCAAATAGAGTAAAAGAGGGAACAAGGTGTGGCTTCCCAGAGGTTCTAGGATAGTTAAGTAACAATCTACTGACAATAGATCAAAGCAGCAGGTTACGACTGTAATTGAGTTATGCTGGTACACTAGTTAAAACTTGCCATGGAATTTGTTTTTGTAGACGATGCTACAGAAAAAGACCTGTCTGACCTGGTGTCCGAGATGGAGATGATGAAAATGATTGGGAAGCACAAAAACATCATCAATCTCCTTGGGGCATGCACACAGGATGGTGAGTGCCATTTTGATTTTGCAAATGAGATATGATAGGAACAATGATTTTTTATTGTATAACATAGATAATAGAGTTGTTGATTCCGTGTAAGTGAAATTAAAATGAATCTGCAAGAGGCAGTAGAGAGGAGGGGTTGGATGACATCCTATAGCTCTTACAAAAAAACTTCAGAAAGGAGCATCCACGCTTTGAAAGTTTCAGTTTCCCTATTGTTATGATTACTTCCCTTCAGTCCCAAAGTTGGGTGGATTCAAAGTTCATTGTATCCTCTCCCTCCTAGGATAAGTGTTGCTTTGTTTTTGTATTCTTCAACTGGAAACAAGGAAGACATTAGTGACCAGTTAGGAAGAAAGAGTCTCAAGGAAAGAAGGGGTGGACATTTGGCACAGATTGCCACTGTGGAGATTGCACATTTCCTTAATTTAGGAAATGGAAACATGCATTTTACACAAGTGGAATAGCAGCAAAAGAAGGAGGAAGTCTTCTTATGTTTACATCTAGTGCTATTCTCACTGGGGTTCAACTTTTCTGTCCCAATCACTGACATTAGTATTCAGCTCACGGCACAGGGCAGCTATCTGCTTTGTATTACTGTATAAATTCTGAAAAGGTGGATGGTTGGGTCAGCAGATACGTAGGTATAAGAAAATGACATGGTGTGTATTAAAGAGCTGAGGCAATTTTTTCCCTGTCACTAAATTCACTACTTGTGTTACAGATTGGACGAGTTTATGCTCTAAATCAGTAACTGGCAGAAGAATTTTTAAGTTTTCCGTGAATCAGAAATGTGAATTTGTGCTGTGCCGTTATGGATGAATGCCACTGAACCTTTGTAAGTTCCAGTTTCATTCTCACACTGCCTTCTTGCTTTGAAGGGCCATTGTATGTCATCGTTGAGTATGCTTCCAAAGGGAATTTGCGAGAATACCTGCGAGCGCGACGGCCACCAGGAATGGAATACTCGTTTGACATTAACCGAGTACCTGAGGAGCAGATGACATTCAAAGATTTAGTCTCATGTACATACCAGCTGGCAAGAGGCATGGAGTACTTAGCATCACAAAAAGTAAGCCAATGCTATTAAAGCACTTTCTGTTGCTTTTTAATGCATAGAGGAGTTTTGGATGACTTAAAGGACATTAAAGTTTACTCTTGGTAAATATAACTGTATGTTTAGGGCCTATATCCATAGCAAATCACTGGACAGAGAATTGTGAAGCAGATTTTACATTGAAAACCAGGCCTGTCAGGTACCTATGCATCATACTGGGCAATACTATGCTCAGTGTCTCTTCTGTGTAATACAAACTCCGTCTCCAAAACTGAACATTAAAATGTGCATATTCAGCTTGACACACGTTGAAATGTATGCATACCAGCCTATTCAAATGCTTCTTCAAATATATAGGCATTTGAGTTGTAACGATGTGCCTGCCTATAAAGACAGAAGGGAGGAGAGATTATCTTTGTTTCTTTCTCCGTCTGCTTGTGGCCTCCCATCTCCTCCCTCTGAGAAATGGAAGGCGGGGGGCTGTGGCTTACAGAGGGGAGGAGAAATCAATGAAAATCACCTCCCCCTCCCTCTAGGACTAGAAACCTTGCTGCTCATGAAACGCAATTCATCACTGAAATCATTGTCTTATATGTCCATGCTTAGTAATCAAAGGTGTGTAGACCCACCCCCAACTTGATCTCTACCCCAAAAAATGGGCATACAAATGAGGGCCATTCTGCCTTATACCATTTAAAAGACATTCTGTCCCTGGGTCTATGACATTATCTGGATCTTAATTTTAAAATATCTTACAAATGTAAGAGGGAGGAACAGCTATGCCGGGAGTGGGATGAGGTTGTATGATGTATGCACTCAAGACACGATACAACAGTTTTTTCTCCACAATCACATACACATTCAGTCTAGATAGTGTAATAATATTTCTGCAGAATTTAGCAATCTAAGCTGAATGTGGGAACAAAGAATATGAAGACTATTCTGGAATGCAAAAAGCAATGCAAATACTCCTTTTTACCCTCCATGAAGTAGGGTAGAACAGCTCAAAAGGGATAAATGCACAATGTAGTGACCTCATTCTGAGCTCTTCTTAATGCCTTTATAGTTGGATTGTCCAGGGGAAATCTGGGTTTTATTAGAGGTTCAACTGTCACTTGCCTTCTCCTTTGATGCCAGTAGCTCTATGTGTGGTATTACTTTTGATTTCTCCTTTCATAAATTTACAGTGGACCCTCTTCTTAAGGAATTAATCCGTATTGGAATGGTGGCTGCAAGTCGAAAAGTCTGTAGGTCGAATCTCCATTGACCTACAATGCATTGAAAACCGATTAATCCCATAACCAGCGGTTTTTATTCTATTTTTGTTCCATTTTGGTTTTTTTCTGGTCTGTAAGTCGATTCTCTGGCTGCAAGTCGAATCTAAATTTTGCAGCCAGAGAAGTCTGTAACTTGAAAAGTCTGTAAGTCGAGCTGTCTGTAAGTCGAGGGTCCACTGTAAATCAGAGATCATCTTTCTAACACTGTGAATGATGTATGGGATACAGAAGATCCACTGTACTGTTTCACTGTCCCAGGGGTGAAGAGAACTTCCTTGCTCTGCCCTATAGCTGGTGCAGAATCATACAAATAGCCTTTCTTCAATCTACTTTTATTCATTTGTGCTAATTCCTATTACTAGTACAGAAATGGTATCACAGTGATAAATGCATATATTTCATAGGGTGTATGCTACATAGTTATAGCAATTTGATAGCAATTTAACTGGCATGGCTTCATCTTGCAAGATCTTTGGTGAGGTACTGAGAATTCTCTGCTAGAAACTCTCATGCATGCCCAGAACTATAGCAGAAGGTTTCAATATACTATGAATCCCAATGTTCTTTACAGGGGATGCAAAGGTGAAACCATTTTAAGGGTGTTAAAGACAGTATCAGACTGTTATAACTGTGTACAGTAGATACACTCATTGTTGCAGCTTAAATTTTAATTGTGTGACTTTTTTGATGACACAGACTATGAAACACATGAGTTGCAGAGTTCTTTTAATCTTAATTGGAATTAAGCACACCTCTTGATTTTAAATAACTTCATCATTATGTCAGGACATGGGAGTATAGCTGTAGGAAGATAGCAGTAGGATCAGCCTAACTAGTTAGAACAAGTTTGCTTAGAAGATGGACATTTTTACACATATGAGGAAAATACTCAAAAAGGGTCAGAGTCAGTCTTTGCTTGCTCACGTGGACTTGCTGAATGTTTCCAGATGGGGCTAGAAACAATCATGTCCATAAGAATATTTTGCATATTATATTGATAGGGGTGCGAAGAAAAGAAAGAGTAAGCAACTCTTTGTGGTGAATGGCTTGCCCTCTCACCTTTGAAATTTTCCATCTAACTTCTGTGAATGGTGTTCTCAACTTTTCTTGGTTACTCTTATATTACGGTCTATTTTCACAAGCTGAATTGTTCAGTGAGGGCTCTGGTGAAGCACTGCATTTAATCTGCAGTAATCAAACTAAACAACTAAACAACAACAAATCAAACTCCAGGTTATGCTTATTAAGGTTTCTATTAAAGATGGAGTTGTGGGAGTAAAGAAAAATCAATATTCAGCAACTAACATTGCAAAATGAATTTAGAGATTTATGAATTCAAACACTAATGTGGATAAACTGTGAGCTGCTTAGCTAAGCAGGCAACAAAAATGTAACCTGGAGACTTGCTTTATTAAGTGAAGACCACAACATTATGTTAACTTACTGAACATGAAAGAGAAAGGCATCCATTTCCCCAGAGCGTTTGAGGGAATTGCGTATGCCAGTATTGGACAGCTGGTAAAAGGAAGAAGTGGCAAAATTCTGTGAACAAATTACTCATTTGTCTCCACTTAAAATATTTGCCTGCTGAGAAAACTAGCTGAAACAGCATAATTTTGATATTCGCTCCTTGGAGATTCGTATTGGGTAGTTTCCACTGCCACACATTTTGTTAAGTTATAATTAAGTCAACGTTAAATTTTCCTATCCAACCAAGCCTCTAAACACATCAGAGTCCTCTGCTTAATAGGATCAGTCAAGATGATGACCAGCTATGCTAGTGCTAAATCAGGCAGAACGTAATTGGCTTTGTTGCTATCCAGACTGCAATATAATTAGAGAGGAAAGGAGTGATAGGGTGGAGGAACAAATCTGTTACCAGGTAGCTTGTATCACAAATCATGTAGCACTTAGTTATTAGTTCTCTAAAGACTGCTGCTCTGACTGGAAAAAATGCCACAATTTCCACAAATGTAGATTATTACTAAATTTCCAGACTAGAAAGAAATCTTGGTGTTTTTTTTCATGCTCCCTTTTCAATTAGAATTCTAAAATAATGAGCATCATTCCAAAGATTTAGGATGGGGAACCTGGAGTATGCTGATGGACACTTACTACCAGTATCCTCATCGAACAGGCCGAAAGAAACTGATAGAAATGGGAGCCCAACAATATCTGGAGGGCCACAGGTTTCTCTTGTTTAGGATTTTCAGAATTTCTGAAACAGTTCTGGCCTGACCTAGTGAGCCTTATCTAGTGAGCCTAAAAAGAATACTTTCATTATTTCTTCTGCTGGTGTTTGTTTCCTTCTCATGCTATGGATTTTTGTACGCAATGATGCAGCATTTAGACTGATATATGTAGTATTCATCTAGATCAACATTCTTCAGCCTGGTATCCTTCAAATGTTTGGTATTAGGCCTTTCCCCCTCTATATTACCCATGCTTTAAAGTGGGGATGGCAGTGGGGAAAACATCTAGACAGCCACCATCTGGTAAAAGCTGATCTAGCTCTAGAAAGCTAATCGTGTTTGTATGTAATATGCTGTCAGATCACATCCAATTTATGGTGATCCTAGTAGGGCTTTTGAGATATGTGTGATATTTAGGCAATGGTTTTTACCAGCACCACACTCCACTGAGTTTCCATGGCCAAGCAGGGATTTGTCCATTACTCCACCCACTATACCAGTTGGGAGCTCTGGCGCATAAGCTTGGAGTGTAACAGAAAAGTTTGAGTCCACCAGATGTGGGCTTCAGGTTGCACATAGAGCAGAGGAAGAATGAGGGAACCATCACCCTTACTGACTGATGTTGCTTGGTGGGTAATAGATGCAGATGGCAGTGAGAAGTAAGTAGTTGAGGGGCATGGATTTGGTGTTGCTTGCACTCCTATGCCCAGCTGAGGGAAACTGTTCTCATGTGAAGTGCTATAATATCAGATTATTAAGACTCAATGTTAGAGAAAAGCAGTGGTTAGAGGCATTCTTGATTGGTATGTAAAGGAAGTAGTAGAAGTACTAAATTGAATGAATAAAGACGAAGGATTCAACAAATACATAAACTGCAGAAAACCATTAGTTATATAAAGATAAATAAATACAGATTGTTATATCTGATCCATCAAGGTAAAATAAATGGAAAGAAGTCCAGGAAGGTGAAAAATCTGGGAGAATGGTTTGGATACAGCATTGTGTCACTGTTTATGGCCGTTGAATACAAAATTGGATTACCTGTGATGATGTCCAGCCTTCAGTAGGAGAGCAACAGCAAGAAAAATAGTAGTGAAAAGGAGTGAGAGGCCACTTCTAAAAAGTAAAATGTGGGATTAGGCACTCATTTCACACGTTATCAGACATTGTTCAAATTAATCAGAATTAACAGTCCAATGACGTAGTGTTTGTGCTTCCCTTGCATTATTTATTAGTACTGACAAGAAAGTACTGTAAGTTTATCTAATTGTTTTCTGCCTAGTGAGTGGTATTAAATAAAATCCTATGAAAAATCCAGAAATAATTCAACAGGCAATTTTAGCAGGGACTTCAGATGTTGTAATAAAAATCACATTTATGCTTTTGTGCTAAATGAAGTATCGCTTTACAGCTAGGCCATAAGTTTCAAAGAATGCCAAATAAGGAAAGAAAAGGATTTTTCCCCTTTGCTGTGGTGCCAGCAGTGGCTCCACAGCATGTTGGCTTGACTACAGCAGAGGATTATAAACCTCACAGGGAGATCATTAAGGAATGCTTACCTATGTCAACATTCTGAGTGGTAGCTGTGATATTTTAAAAATGTCTTGTTCTATGTGATGTTGTAGACATGTTAAATGCAGCACTTGCAAGACAATGCAACCAGATCAACCCATATACAATCTTGGTATATATGAGGGGTGCATACACTGTGCAAGTGTATATGCAGCACAGGAAATAAAAAGAGGCTATGGAAGTGAGATGTAATCCATCCATTGCATTTTCTTAAGCTGTGATGTCTGATACCCAGGCATGCATGTACACAGCAGTTGGCTTCTTACTGCTACTGTTTGTAGTAGTCAGCATAAGGCAAAGAAGGTCTGGAAGAACCTCTTGCCCTCCCAACCTATGCAGAGGTGGTCAGCCATGTCTAAACCTGGCACTGCTAATCAATGGCCTCAATCAAATTATTGAGCCTGACTAGAGTTAGACTCATTGAATATAGTGGGCATATGTCAGTCTTAATGTACCAAGTTCCAATTGAGTAGGTCTACTCTAGTTTATATAAACAGTTGAATTTCTGCCCATTTGTTTAGTGCAGCATATCAGAGTTCCTTGTTGAAAATCAAGGACCAGATACAGTTGGCAGGCGATCCTACTGGAATCAGGTAGCCAACTCTTAAGTAGCAGCATCCAATGGTAAGAGTAGAATGGGGACTGGTCTTCAAGTAGCAGGATGGGCTCCCCTGTTTGCACAAAGCCTGCTCTCTTATGTTCACAGCCTGCTTACTCAACTAAAGATCATAGTGATCAGAATGGGGCTAAATTGATACTGGACAAATTTTCTGTGAATGTGGAAAAATCCAATCAATGCAGCATTTATGTGCATGCAATTTATGCTACACCACATGTTCAAAAGAAAACCTAGTAAATGGCTGAGATAATGATATTGAATGCATTGTATATATCAGTGGTTCTTAACCTTTTTGAAAGAAATGCCCCCTTGAACAATTGAGGAAGTTATCATCGCCCCCCCTCCCCGCAGTGATGATATCTTATTTATTTACTTACTTACTTACTTACTTACTTACTTACTTACTTACTTACTTACTTACTTACTTACTTACTTACTTACTTACTTACTTACTTA